TCAAATGTTTTTCAATTTGCGTTTATTTGAATTCTGTATTTTCCTTGGTTAAAATATGTTTCTCATCACGGGTGAATCGTAAAGTAATGACCGAATTCGATCTGTACTTGGAGTTTAATAAGAGTAGGCAGCATAAAACTTTCCCCATGTCTTATGGACGGATAACCATTAAGATCATGTTTTTGGGATTCATTTTGCATTGGAAACTTCGAACAGTCCAATTAACAACTCAGTCATTATCTTTTATCGGAAGTGAAGCGCTTTGGTAATTCGACACCTCTTGAAACTTTATTCTATGTATAAATGTGTGTGAAAAGTTTATAAAAGATAGTTTAAGGCCTCTTCTACGCGTATCCACCTGTTTTTAAAAACAGATTTTTTCCGTTTTAGCCTTTCGTCCACAATATTTCCATCGTTTTAGCGTTTTCATCTGTTGTTGTTGTTGTTGTAGTTGTTGTTTGTTTTTTTATGCTTTGAGTATTGTTTAAAATACTCAAGAGACCATGATTGTCTTCATGCTACGGCTTTATAGGCATTATAGTTGAGCGATCGATGATTGTCGATCAACATATTTCCGTTCACAGATTCTTTGACCTTGCTATTCTGTGTGGAGATACCACTGGCCACTATGTTATGTGTAGAGCCGTTGTTGCTGATCCCTTTGTGTTTCGCGAATAAATGAAATCAGAGGTGAGCTGGGTTAATTAAATTTTAAGTGATATCGAGTCGTTCTTCAATAACGTGGTTGGCAGAGGAAGTTAATTTGAATTCATGCAATTTCCAATGCAATTTCATGCAAGCAATGAAATCAACGAACGTAGTTTTTCAAAGTCTTCCATATTAGAAAAAGACAATGCAGTCAAATCACAATAATAGTCGGGCACTGAAGGGGCGAACAAACACTCAAAAGTCGCTCACAGGCCATATATTACTGCATAATTCACTTGATGCCAAAATAGTCTAATTTACCTCTACAAATTATCCTATCCGGAGTATTGTAGCGCTGGGAAGAAACATCGACACATCGGTCAAGTAAAGGTTTTTTACCTTCAAAAACGAAAGGTCTATAACAGCACGCAGTTGATAATGAAGTGACTGCGTTACTGAACAAGATTGCCTTTCTATGCGAATCTGTTGATTGGGCAAGAAACAAGTGTCAGTTGTCCGCATTAATGTCCGTAATAGAGAGGTATCCGTAGCAAATGTCCGTAAAGCGGGTTTCGACTGTAATTCCAAAAACAATAAACGATGCATTTTTCTTTTTCTTCGTTTAGAGCATCCCTAAGCAGGCCCTAAAAACTGGCTTCTGCAAAACTCCCGGAACCCGCGGGTCCAGCGGGTGCTGCGGGATCACCTGGAAATAATGGACCTCATGGACCAAGGGCTCCACGTGGATACAAAGGTGAAGCAGGTCCTCCTGGAGCTCAAGGCCCCAGTGGCCCCAAGGGACCACAAGGACCCTCGGGTCAAGCTTGAAAGACGGGTGATACGGGTGCTCGAGGTCCCCCAGGTCCCGAGGGGGTTCCGGGATCGTTAGTACGTAATGGGAAACAGTGCGTTTTTCCGAAACTGGCCGACGGCAAGGACACTGTATTAAGGTAAGAGTTGAGTTGTCACCACTGTGGTGGTGCATACTTCCCAAATGATCAGACATTAAATTATTCCAGTAATCGAGTTTCTTTTTTAATTATTGTATTGAACAACATATCCATGGAGGCCTTTTGTTCAGATCATTTTGAATTATTTTTGTCCTGGCGATTCACTTCAAAGTCAGACTAAACTAAGAAAAGTAAAAATTGGTCCCGCGCGGAGTCAAACTATGCTCTTAGCACAAGCCGACAATTGAATCAATCCGATGCTGTTCAGCCAGTGTCTCTATTAGCCCATTTGACTAGACAAGGGCCAGCAGTAATGTCTTCTAGACGCATCATCCGTCTTTCTTTTTTTGATTTCGATTGCTTTAAAACCAGTTATAACATTTAGATGGACATTTCAGTGGGACTCTTTTCAGTATAAACAATTTATTAGATCTGTAGACTCCACGCGGCTTATCCTGATTCTCAGACGTCCGTAAAAGCTAAGTTAGAGGTCGCGAACGAACTCGGCCGTCTTAAAACTTGTCCAGGAGAAGTACGAATTACATGGAAATTTCTATAGCCACCTCTGTGGTAAAGTATATCTGCAACTTTTGTCCAAAAGAAGTTTAAGCAACGCATGGGAATTTCTTTAGACTCTTGGAGTAAAGTTAATGAATTTGCCATCACCTTTTTTTGCAAATGAGTATTACATGGGCATTTCTATAGACACCTCTGTGGTAAAGAATATCTGCAACGTTTATCCAAAACAAGTTTAAGCAACGCATGGAAATTTCTATAGACTCTTTGTTTGGCAGAAAATGTATAATACATATTCGTTGTTTGAGCAAATGTATGGAAATTTCTATCGATACCTGGTGGTCAAGATTATCTGCAGCTTTTGTCCAAAGCGTTACGTGGAAATTACCGTAGACGTTTTTGGCAGGGAATTTACTTCTATAAGCCATATTGCACTTTCAAGTAACTGAGATATTACAAGGAAATCTTCATACACATGCGACTTGAAAGGTTGCCAGGTTTTTAAGCAAAACATATTCATTATATGCTACATGAGGAATGATTTCTCGGATGTTATTAAGCTGTCTACCAGTGAAGTGTAAAGACGCATATGCGCATAGACGCATATATATCTTTGTTCCTGCTAAACAAGACTTCGACGAATTCTGACGCAAATCTCTTGGAGTAAACTGAATCAAATTAATACCATGGTAGTCGGTTTCATTACAATAAGAGCTTATAAGGTCTTAAGTCTTCAATGGATAAAACACAGATAGCTTTTAAACGGACTTTCCACTTTGTTGGAAAACCCGCAAACACATAGCATGCCCTGCTTTCTAATTCAGCTACTTCAGAAAATACGCAATGAACAATCGTTGCATGTAGTTGGATTATAGACTGGGGAGTTGATTCCAGGATTATTTCAAACATTCCGAACAAAGTCTCGTTAAACATAACTGTACCACCCTCTATTTGTTCTTTACAGTTTTTTATCGACTCTCCAGGCCATACAGGGCATAGCTTCATGGAATTCCTGAAGCACAAAATAAATGCTTTAAATCGCGTAAAAGCAGGCGCTAATGGTTCCACCCAAAAATAATACCTGGAATTGAGTCGATCGGCTCATCATTATCAAGATCAAAGATATGATACGGCCAAACTCGGTAAACTAGCGAACACAAGCCCCACGCGCGCGCCAAACCATGTCTTGTGATCGTTCAGGTAAAATTCCCTCAGAGTGAATATGTCCGTGATTGGATCAGCAACAGCTAAAACATTGCCATAAAAAGAAATATAGTGCTATACCATTTAACTTTGATTGTCGAATCAATTTCGTCAGACATGATGGCTAAGGTTTTTCTAACAAGCGAAGTCCTTGACTCGTATCTAACGGATTAACTACACACTTAAATTATGTTGATTTCCCAAACATGTCCTTTGGAATTTATCGCTACGCACTAGACCGATGAAAACGAGACTAATTTTTGTTCACACATTACATCGACCGAACAAACATAGTTCTTAACTCGATCGAGATGTTATATGAATCTTTGACTTTCATTGACAGTTATCGATATTTATGAGCTGTGACATAAGTTAAGAAGTAGATGGGATGTATCTTTTTTCGAGTGGCTTCATACCCTGTTATTGCACGTTTATACAACGGCTGTGATTATGAAGCAGCCACGCCTAAAAATCGCGAGCAATCTCGCAGGCTAGACTCAATCGGGAAATTAATGGCCATGAATTTTGAATCTAATTGGACGCCTTAATGAAGGAACCTTTAATTTTTAAATGCTTATGTGCGGCTTGAAGAAGGGGAAGTTGGAAAGAAATTCGTAACAGAGTTTTCAAGAAGGTGATATATTTTAAAATTACAGGTTTGCAGTCACATCACGAGCAAAAGCATAGTCTCCACTGGGAACTAAACTCCATCTTCAAGTAAATTCTTCGAAAAAATTCTTGATTGCCTATAATACGCCTTGTTTACCCAACAGAAACGTTTTGCAAACCATTGTTTCAAATTTCTTCTAGACATCGAAGTGGTCCCTTAATTCAAGGATCTTCCTATCCGCTCAGCTAGGAAGATTCTTCTACTAGATCATCGCGTTAGGGACAAGTATAAGCCAGAATACAGAAAACAAATCGTCAGTATTGAGGATAATCCACCTGCGAGGATCTTCCCGGTGCTAGGATCTTTCTCCCTACATGTAACTGAGCCCCTAAAAGTTGAATGTCTGTGTAGGAATTTTAATTGTCAAGATCTTCTTTATGCAAATAACGCAAGATCATAGTTTTAAAATATATCTCTGTTTTTTTTTGTTTTTTTTTGTTTTTTACTTTTACCATCATCAGAGAACTGACAGAAGAGAGGTAGTTTTTGCTTATTTTACTTTTAAACTTAATGAAGGTAATTTGTCGCTAAATTGGCAAATTCACAACACAAAATTTGTTTAATTTACACTTCAAACAGTAACTTCGTGTCCAACATTTTCTGTTACTGAGTAGTGTAAAAATGAATACTGTTTAAACTCCTTAAAAGTTAGAAATTTTTCGTGCAGAATTAATCTCGCCCGATGTTGAGATGAGATGATGAGATGAATATGTTTGCTGGACCATTCGTTGTCATACAAAAGAAATATACGCCATTTTGTGAGAGAGACCCTGGTCTGGCCTACTCTCTCCCCCCTCCCCTGCCCTCTCTCTCTCCCTCTTTCTCTTGCTTCTAGAGCCGAGGACGGAGAGACCCTGGGAACGAGGTTGTCCTTTCAGCTGGTTTAGCATCTTAAAATCATCACTAACAATAGCAGCTTTTTTTTAACAGGTTATTTAACAATAATTACATTTAAAGCTAGAAACCTTGTTAGGAAACATCTTAAGTTTATGAAAAATTTGAATCTGCTTTTCTTAAGCTTGTGGGGGAGGTATTTCTTCCACGAACATCCGGGACACCGAGTTCCATCCTGTTAGTGCATCAGCAGAACCGTAACCTTTGCAGTTGCCGACCCAGAATCCCACGCGCACAGTGCCTTTGTGGATTTTATCGCAGACTCCCTCGACGTGACGCGGACGGTGCAAATCTTGTAGTCTGCTGCCACTTCCATATACCATGTAAACTACAGCATCAATAGCTGCTGGAGCCGAGCACTCTGCGCCATTAAAAGTGAAATACCATCGCCTACAACAGCTGTTGCAGTTATGGAGTCGGAGTTGGCCACTCCAATAGACACGCAGACTTGTGTTGTCCGACTTCTTCTTGAAAATGCATTCCTGTTGAAAGGAAAAAGCAACAAAATTCAAGATTATCAGAGTAACCTTTTAATTTTTTTACCCACAGAGAGACAGCTCTGACAAACTTTAGAGTCTATGGATATCTTAAGTTACGACGATTCAAATTATAGTGGCGGATCCAGGGGAGGGGACCGGGTACCCCGTCCCCCCCCCCCCCCCCCCTCCCCCCTCTTAATTTCTAGACCAAACTGAGGCCCTAAGGACAGAAAAAGTATTTTTGGAGACCGCCACCCCCCTCCCTTATCTGAAGGTCTGGTTCCGGCACTGAATTATACCTCTTCAACAACGCTTTCGTATGGTACAGTGGGTACAAGGTGGGTTAAACTAACACTTTAATCTGTGAACAAAATCCCACGGTATTACCATTCAAAACTGCTGAGGAGTGCTTCTATGTAAAAACATTTGATTTGCAAGATTTTACTCGATAAAATTGTGAAGTTTTTGGAAGTAAAGGAAATCAGAAATAATTAAAGAAATGAGCCACGCAGGCCACTGGTTCTAATCCAGGCAAATTTGAGAACAAGACCTTCTAATGAAATTCTATCTTTTGAGATAAAACCCAGGTACTGACGAACTTTTTATTCTGAGGTCAACTTAGCTTTCACCTTGACCAATCCAGAGTCTCGGCCATCCCCCAGCTTCTTAAAAACGCACTGTTTCCAGTTACGTGCAAAAGACCCTGAAGCCCCCTTGGGGCCTGAGGGACCTTGACTTCCAGGAGGACCTGTATCACCCTTCTTCCCAGCTTGACCAGAGGGGCCTTTTGGTCCCTTGGGGCCAGGTGGACCTTGACTTCCAGGGGTACCTGTATCACCTTTGCTTCCGAGTGGGCCTGCTGGACCAGTTGACCCTGTACCTCCCTTGGGGCCTGGAAGTCCTTGTTTTCCTCGGGATCCTTCATCGCCTTTGACTCCTCGTGGACCCACAGGTCCTTCGGGTCCGTTATTCCCGGGTGATCCCGTTGTACCAGCTCGTCCCGCGGGTCCCGGGCTTCCTGGGATGCCCGGTATCCCCGGTGCGCAGAAACACGGAGAGTAACCACAAGAGCCATGTTGGGAATTCTGTTGAGGAAATTAAGGGCAGACATGAAAAAAAAAAAAAGAATCAATGTATCATTCCTTCTCTTTGATTTGGAGTTAATGCACTTGGGATGTTTGTTCTATGAAAAGCCTTTGAAATATAAGTAAATAAATAATTGACAGAAAATATATATTAATAATGATAATAGATAGATAAAAGCAGATATAAGCTAAGTACAGAAACAAAAGACGCTTGAAGGACTCTACTTTTGGCCGCTGACACTACAAGTCCATCGTTCGTTCATTGTTGAGCAACAACGCAACTACTAATGATCATTTTATTATTGTTCAATTATTCATTTCCTGTGCATTTACATTATTTGACTAGGAAACTATCCATTTCGATGATAAATTCTACCATTAACATTTATAATTAAAAGTGAAGCCTAAAACATGTCTACATATCAAAAAATAAAAGTTGAAAACGGCCCCGGATGTCAGGACATTCATTCTGACTCATACTTTCATTGATTCCATTTCATTTTATTCCGTTTCTGGCAAATGAATAATGCAATCAACGACCATTAACTGTCCCGATCATCTGAAATTTCACAAATCAAACTCACCTTGTTGCTGCTGTTTGTACTATTCGCAGAACACAAAGGGATCAGCAGTAACGGTACTATCAATAACGTAAAGGCCGATGGTATCTTCATACAGAATAGCATTATCGCACAATCAAACTGTGGGGTGAATATATTAATTGTTTAACAATAACCTCGAAGAGAACAGTATTTTTAATTCTTCTCGCTCAGGGAAAATGAATATTTTTAAGTGTATATTCGCGTATTTTGTAAGCTATACTACTCGAGGAAAACTGAAGACTACTAGTCGTAAGACAAGTAGTCTTTTATAGTTATCGAATTCTTACCCTTTCGAATTACAAAAAAAAAAAATCAAAACACAAAGAAACAAACGGATCACCGGTTACAGGAATCAATTCTACTTTTTTCAGGTTTAAGAGATATGGAAGAACCAATACGATTATAATCATATTTTGATCAGCCAATTTCAGGTGGTTCATGAAAACAGGACGTAACACTAGTTAAAAATAATAAACTGAAAAGATGTACATCATAACAAAATCGTCCACTGCTAGTAAAATATCTTCAGTTGAAAAACAAACGCAACCGAGTGAAGAATCTAACCTGGAAGGAAATCTTCACATTGGAAAATTACATTAAGTATTTTAACAACTGAGTTTTTAGCTACTTTGCAGTAAAAGTAAATCTAGGACAACTAAAATACCAACCTTGCTTGTATGGCTGTAGTCCGGCGTCCGCGAAAAATGATGAATGGCTTAATATCTCCGATCTTTTATGTCGTTTTGTAGACACGTTTAGCATGAAAACATGTTTTTAGCACGTTCAAAGGCTTGCTAAAAATAAAATGTCAAAAAAGGCAAAATGTTCTTATTGTTTAACTCACACTGAGCTGACCAATCAAGGAGTTCGTTTAATTTGGTAAGTTGCAAGTTTGAAACATGTTTAGGGCCGGTGACGTAAAAAACATGAAAAATGACAAAAATTCTTTTAGTTATTGGATAAATCATTTCTAGATTGACCAACTGTACAACGCGTTGAAAAATATCTTTGTTTAGAAGAGTTCAGGATTTTAAGCTAAAATAAGAAAACAATCCTTGTTAGTTAGTTTATGCGTAACTTCTGAACTAAGACTGAGTCTACTAATCACAGTTTAAGTTGGTATTCAGTTTCCAAATCAAAGAAAATCCCCTCTCTTTGGACACGCTAAATTACATACTGAACAGCAGATAGCAATCACAATGTTAATTATTACTTAATTGCGACAAACGTGATCGCGTTATAGAAAAGTATGCAACCCGCTCATTATAGTTTCCTACCGGATATTTCATTTTCACTTAAACACGAATCGAATTTTGCTCGAAGAGGAGTAAGCAGCTAAAGAAATAACATATCTGAATTTCGGTTAACTGATAAGAGAAAAAATCTCGAAAAGAAGGCAAAACTTTTAAAACAACTGTAACGTTTTTTAGCAGCTGCGACAGGGCTGAGCCATAAAACTTCAAATATTTATTAATAAGTTCTCGATGCAAAACGAAGAGGCTACAATAAATTGATGTCTAGGCTTAGTTCTGGAACGACTGATTAGTTTTAGAACACACAAAAAATCGCCTTGATTTGCAAATTCAAAATATTTTTTTAACCAAATTAAGTGAGGAATTAACGTGATAAGGTTGGATCGAGAGACAACTTAATTCATAAAGCCTTTATAACACTTGTATTGGGCAGAATGGCCTGAGTAAAATAGACCTGCAGTGAGGATGACAGAAATAAATGCGATGTCAAAGACATTAAAAAAGAAGAGAAATCGGCAAAAAATACAAACGTACAAACCTACCTTGCTAAATTTTTGCCCTTCAATTTTTTCTCAACTACTTACTGGGAGGTAAAAGAAAACAAATTCTCGTACGAACGTGTTGAAGAACATTATGACTTTATTCTACCGAACGATACCATTGGCTGCTTGTCCCTACTCACTCTGCGACTCATCCAATGATATGGTGTCTTTTATTTCTGCCAAAAAAGCCTGAAAAAGAAAATTATTGCCCTTTTGTAACTTAAAAACAATTTGCAATTTCTAAAGCATTATATTGTTATAGCTTACCAGCAAACAGAAAATTAACGTCGTTTAAGATCATCGAAAGTAAACTAACATATCATTACCTTCTTTGCGGTTCTAAGCAGCTGTGTTTTGTTATTAAGCTTACCTCGGCCTTCCCTAAACATTCACTACACTGTCTTCTTTCATTAAATAACTTTGCAAATTATATTTTCTCCTTATGTTGACTACTACTGATTAATTTCCACTTCAATTTCAAGCTGACATAGACCGTTGGTCAGAAAACATTTGCCCAAGATAATAAGCTTATCGTGGTCTTCAGAATGATTCGTTAATATTCGATGAACAAAATACCTTCGTCTGGAAACAGCTGATGCGCTACGTTCTCAATTTGATTGTTCATTTTGTCTCTTATTGAAGGGCGCAAAACAAAACAGAGAAAAAAAATGGTACGTAGTAAAATCAAACCGAGTCTTAAAAAAATTCATACAATAATCAAAGACATTCGTTGGTCAAATACTCTCGTTTCTAACGTAAATACATAGAGAAATTGTAGGCGCTATTCGACTCTTGCTCGCCTTTGGCTATTGACACACCTTCTTGAATAGCAACAGCTCGCCTGGTCCTATTCCACTGAACGCCTTTGGTCAAACTTTGGTTTGAAAATAAAACTTTTTGAATGGACACAGGTGGATGGTAGTTTATTTTAGCAATACCTCTTACACCAAAAAGAGTCTCGCGCCTAAAGTACGCGGTAACTTGCAAATATAAAAACAGCTAGCGTGCGAAGGGTAGTTCCCTTTTTCCTCCGCCGAACGCCTCGCGATGTTGTTATGTTGCTTACCGCCTGTTCCCAGGGTCTAAAAAGCGTTAATTATGACAAAGTTTCAGAAGTTCATGCCATTGCCAGTCCAGCCAATTTTCATGCTGATGTAAAACTACTGTATAATTGCAGTTCTTAATATGATACAAGAAGATAAACATGAACTGGGATGGACTCATTTAAAGTACTTTTCTAAAGCTGTACATTTCTAAAGTTAAGCACTGTGGCTTTGTAGTTAACAGTTTGGCTACGTGCTGCGTGTTGTTATGTGTTGTCTCAAATTTATTGGCTTAAATAATTCTTGAACTACACCAAACTTCGAAATTTTCTTTAAGCACTGAGTAAAAAGTACATATTCTGATACAGGTTGTGGCTTACAACAAGCTTTTTATACGGCACAAGGAACAAAATATTGACTCGGTAGTCAGTGCTGAAACCACGTCTAATGTTCAAGCCTCTTCGCATCATCGTAAAAATTGCCTCTTCTCTACTCGCTTAAAGCTGCAAATTAACTTTCAAAAATTAATTCATTATCACCCCACACGATCAAAACTATAAATTGAAAAAGGAAAGATGTTAATGTTACCATGCTTCATTTATTATTATTATAGTTTTTATTTTATTTTTTTTCTTTTTGGATAACATATCATAGTGAACATAGCGCCATTGAAAGAAATTCGTGATTTTCTCATCAGATGCGCGCCGGCTTTTAAGCCACGGGGACAAAAATAGACACCGTGCGCGAGACTGCCCCTTATAACTAAAAACAAGAGCACAAAAATATAGAATTGTAAATCGTTTCCTTCTAAAATATGGTACATATTTTGTCCACCGGTTTTGTGTACGGGGTAGTACTGACAAAAGTGGCTGATCTTATTTATCTTTTTTAATTACGCTTTTAAAAGTTTTCGTAAAATTCTTAGCAAAGTATGGAATTTTTATTTTTTTAAATTTTACCTAATTGCGTGGAACAGGACAATTCAACAATATTTTTGTTTGCCTATCGTGTTTGCATAATATTTATATGTAACAAGCTAATTTAAGAAAGTCTTCCTCACAACTGGAATATTGTATAATTTTTAGGTTATCAAAGTAATATTTGCCAAATTGGCAAAATTTAACGATGTTTTACGCTACTATATTATAAAGAATAAGTTTATTTTTACCTTAAGGTAATAGACGGTAATAGAATAGATAGCGTCGATGAATGTCGTGGGCACAATACGAGCAAAGACGAAACAGGTTCTTAGATTAAACTTAATGAGTAAAGATTCCACATAATTATATAACACAACAACTGTTAAAAAAAGCAGCGTACCGTTTAAAATGTCCATAATATCCTCAGCTTTTTTCTGTCATTGCTAACCCAAAATAATTTTCCATTTTGCTTTCTTTGCATGTAATGAGGTTCTTGTCAGATCAAGTTTGCAAAGAAATCTATTGTGTTTGACTTCTTATTTGACAGATAGCTGTCATTAATTAAAACAGAAGGAAAAATCACTGATTATTATAATTCCAATAAATTTGAATCTTTCCATGATAATTTAGGAGTCGCTACCTAATGTAATGTAATAACACGTTGTAATTTACTCCAAATTCGATGTACTTTCTCTAATCATATAAAGTAGCAAATCAAATCTGAATAACTCAGAAGGTGTTATCCAGGGGAGGCAGATCGGGGTAGCTCGTTATTGCTACCACCCCCCCCCCCCCCCCCCCCCCCCCCC